TAAATTATGACCTCTATTCTATTAACCCCTTGACTGTCGCAACCCCCAATCCTGAGGTGTCTCCTGGTTTCGCAAATTTAAAAAAAAAAAAAAAAAATTCTTATGAAATGATAGAGAATCTTTTCCTGATTGTAATGACAAAAAAATCGAAATTTGATGGAAAACTGAAGGAATTACACTCTCGCAAAGTTAGCGACCTCGGCGATATTTACAAATCGGCGATTTTGCCCACTTTGAGCCCTATTTTCGGCTAATTCCATTGTTCCAGTCGACCAAACTCAAAGCTATTTCTTTAGAACTTCATTTTTTCTATCGATTGAGTACAAGAAACTGCCCATTTACCGATTTCAACTACCCAATAACGTGATCAGAAATTTGCAATTTGGACAATTTTGCAAAAATTAAAAAATGACAATTTTAAAATAGGGTCCAGAATGAACAATGCAGACATCCCTGGCTCTAAAATAACATTTTTCTTTGTTCATCAGTCACGTCTCGAGGCCCCTCTGATATTACTCTTGTTTTCTACTTAGAATTTTTATTCAAACAAAAAATAGAAGATTTACTGTTATGCAGACTACTGCAATATTGTAATAATTGTACAAATAATGTCAACCCATTCGTGACTGCATATTAGAATGGCTAGTTGGACATTTATTGGACAATGACATCATTTGTTTACTTTTGAACATCGGCAAAAATCAAACATTTTCCCTACTTTGAGCTCCATTTCCAGGCTCTTTTTATAGTAAAACCAATCAAAATTCCTCTATTTCTATAATATGTTTTCCATTCTATCAAATGAGACCAAGAAAACGAGAATAGACCCATAAATACTATACGAAAATAGACTACAAATTCGGCATTTTAATTAAAAAAAAAATGGTAGTTTTTTTTTTCTCGCTATGCACTCTGTGCTCCAGGATTTTTTTTATGGTGCACACTGACCACACAGACCTATTCTCTCACATGTGGGCCTACCAGCTTTCTCCTGCTTGATTTGAAGCCGCTAGAATTTGAATATATATACGTCAAACACGGTACCTCGTAAGACGTATATATACGACCAAAACAGTCAGAGGGATAAACATCTGCCAGTCCATGAAATATCACTGCTTGAACCATTAATTGTGATATTGTTTTTATTATTTGCAACTTCAAGATTATTTTTCTTATAAACCTCCACTTTGACTACCTCACATTAGTATTAAAATTTAAATAGATTTTAATTAAAGTTAACCACTTATCTTGTCTAGATTTAAGTAGTTATCATGTGCTAGGATTAATCTGCCTGAAATGCCCTGGCATGAGAGTGGTTTTCTTTGTACTGTATGTTTTTTTTTTTCTCTCTCTCAACAAGTCGGCCGTCTCCCACCGAGGCAGGGTGACCCAAAAAAAAAAGAAAATCCCCAAAAAGAAAATACTTTCATCATCATTCAACACTTTCACCTCACTCACACATTATCACTGTTTTTGCAGAGGTACTCAGAACACAAAAGTTTAGAAGCATATACGTATAAAGATACACAACATATCCCTCCAAACTGCCAATATCCCGAACCCCTCCTTTAGAGTGCAGGCATTGTACTTCCCATTTCCAGGACTCAAGTCCTGCTATATAAAAATAACCGGTTTCCCTGAATCCCTTCACTAAATATTACCCTGCTCACACTCCAACAGATCGTAAGGTCACAAATACCATTCGTCTCCATTCACTCCTATCGAACACGCTCATGCACGCCTGCTGGAAGTCCAAGCCCCTCGCCCACAAAACCTCCCTTACACCTTCCTTCCAACCTTTTCGAGGACGACCCCTACCCCGCCTTCCTTCTCCTACAGATTTAAATGCTCTCCATGTCATTCTACTTCGATCCATTCTCTCTGAATGACCAAACCACCTCAACAACCCCTCTTCAGCCCTCTGACTAATACTTTTATTAACTCCACACCTTCCCCTAATTTCCACACTCCGAATTTTCTGCATAATATTTACACCACACGTTGCCCTTAGACAGGACATCTCCACTGCCTCCAACCGCCTCCTAGCTGCTGCATTCACAACCCAATCTTCACACCCATATAAGAGTGTGGGTACTACTATACTTTCATACATTCCCTTCTTTGCCTCCATAGATAACGTTTTTTTGACTCCACATATACCTCAACTCACCATTCACCTCTTTTCCTTCATCAATTCTATGATTAACCTCATCCTTCATAAATCCATCCGCCGACACGTCAACTCCCAAGTATCTGAAAATATTCTTACTCTTTTCTATGTTCACTTTCAACTTTCTGCCTTTACACACACTCCCAAACTCATCCACTAACCTTTGCAATTTTTCTTTAGAATCTCCCATAAGCACAGTATCATCAGCAAAATGTAACTGTGTCAATTCCCATTTTGTATTTGATTTCCCATAATTTAATCCCACCCCTCTCCCGAACACCCTAGCATTTACTTCTTTTATGACCCCATCTATAAATATATTAAACAACCATGGAGACATTACACATCCCTGTCTAAGACCTACTTTTACCAGGAAGTAGTCTCCCTCTCTTCTACACATCCTAACCTGAGCCTCACTATCCTCATAAAAACTCTTCACTGCTTTCAGTAACCTACCTCCTACACCATACACCTGCAACATCTACCACATTGCCCCCCTATCCACCCTGTCATACGCCTTTTCCACATCCATAAATGCCACAAAGACCTCTTTAGCCTTATCTAAATACTGTTCATTTATGTTTCACTGTAAACACCTGGTCCACACACCCCCTACCTTTCCTAAAGCTTCCTTGTTCATCTGCTATCGTATTCTCCGTCTTACTCTTAATTCTTTCAATAATAACTCTACCATACACTTTACCAGGTATACTCAACAGACTTATCCCCCTATAATTTTTGCACTCTCTTTTGTCCCCTTTGCCTTTATACAAAGGAATTATGCATGCTCTCTGCCAATGCCTAGGTACCTTACCCTCTTCCATACATTTATTAAATAATTGCACCAACCACTCCAAAACTATATCCCCACCTGCATTTAACATTTCTATCTTTATCCCATCAATCCCGGCTGCCTTACCCCCTTTCATTTTACCTACTGCCTCGCGAACTTCCCCCACACTCACAACTGGCTCTTCCTCACTCCTACAAGATGTTATTCCTCCTTGCCCTATACACGAAATCACAGCTTCCCTCTCTTCATCAACATTTAACAATTCCTCAAAATATTCCCTCCATCTTCCCAATACCTCTAACTCTCCATTTAATAACTCTTCTCTCCTATTTTTAATTGACAAATCCATTTGTTCTCTAGGCTTCCTTAACTTGTTAATCTCATTCCAAAACTTTTTCTTATTTTCAACAAAATTTGTTGACAACATCTCACCCACTCTCTCATTTGCTCTTTTTTACATTGCTTCACCACTCTCTTAACTTCTCTCTTTTTCTCCATATACTCTTCCTCCTTGCATCACTTCTACTTTGTAAAAAAATTTCATATGCTAACTTTCTCCCTTACTACTCTCTTTACATCATCATTCCACCAATCGCTCCTCTTCCCTCCTGCCCCCCACTTTCCTGTAACCACAAACTTCTGCTGAAACACTCTAACACTACATTTTTAAAACCCACCCCCTACCTCTTCGACCCCATTGCCTATGCTACCAATACATTTATTTCTCCCCACCAAAACTCCCCTACCCCCCTTCAGTTGCCCCTCTATAAACATGTACATCCTGGAGCCTACCCATTAACTTTTTATCCACCAATAAAATAATCTAACAAACTACTTTCATTACATGCTACTCATACCTTGTATATTTTTTATCCTCTTTTTCATAAAATATGTATTACTTATTACCAAATCTCTTTCTACACATAGCTGAATTAAAGGCTCCCCATTTACATTTATCCCTGGCACCCCAAATTTACCTACTACTCCCTCCACAACATTTTTTCCACTTTAGCATTGAAATCCCCAACCACAAGTACTCTCACACTTGGTTCAAAACTCCCCACGCATTCACTCAAACATTTCCAAAATCTCTCTCTCTCCTCTCACTTCTCTCTTCTCCAGGTGCATATACACTTACTATAACCCACTTTTCACATCCAACCTTTATTTACTCCACATAATCCTTGAATTAATACATTTATAGTCCCTCTTTTCCTGCCATAGCTTATTCTTCACATTATTGCTAATCCTTCTTTAGCTCTAAATCTATTTTAAAAAACCCTGACCTAATCCATTTATTCCTCTCCACTGAAAAATCTCCCACCCCTTCAGCTTTGTTTCACTTAAAGCCAGGACATCCAGCTTCTTCTCATTCATAACATCCACAATCATCTCTTTCTTATCATTTGCACAACATCCACGCACATTCAGGCTTCCCACTTTGACAATTTTCTTCTTATTCTTTTTAGTAATCTTTACAGGAAAAGGGGTTACTAGCCCATTGTTCCCGGCATTTTAGTTGACTTTTACAACACGCATGGCTTACGGAGGAAAGATTCTTATTCCACTTCCCCATGGATATAAAAGGAGAAGTAATAAGACCAAGAACTATTAAGATAAAATCAAAGAAAACTCAGATGAGTGTGTTTAAATAAACGTGTACATGTATGTGTAGTGAGACCTAAGTGTAAGTAGAAGTAGCAAGACGTACCTGTAATCTTGCATATTTATGAGACAGACAAAAAAACATCAGCAATCCTACCTTCATGTAAAACAATTACAGGCTTTTGTTTTACATTCACTTGGCAGGACGGTAGTACCTCCCTGGGTGGTTGCTGTCTTCCAACCTACTACCTATATATATTGTGCTTAGCATACCAAAATTGTAATTACACATTGTAGACTTTACAAAGAAATGAAATCTTTATTCTTTTATTCTTTTTATTCTTTATTATTCTTTATTTTATGTCCAAGAATATACAGTAGATTACTTTTATTGACTTTCCTCTGTTAACATGCGATTCACTGTTTACACAGGAAGGTGGATTTCGAGCCTTGTATCGAGGATTTACTGCAACTGTATGTGGGATGATTCCCTATGCTGGCCTTAGCTTCTATTGCTTTGAACAGATGAAGTATTTATGCATGAAGCATCTCCCAGATTATACCTGCAAAGCTTGTGAAAAAAATACAGGTTAGTATGTAATGGATTGAAAATTATAATATGTTTGGCTTTAAAAGTTGTGTCCAGGCTTTGAATGTTTTATTTTCCAGCAGATGTCAGTGTGTCTCTTGGTCTCTGAAAATAATTATTCTATTGTTTGGTTCAGAATTCCTTAACAAGACTTATATTAGAAATATAAGAAATTATAGAAATACTAAATCTTATTCTTTCAACAAAACTGGCTATATCCCACCTAGGCAGGGTGGCCCAAAAGAAAAACAAAAGTTTCTTTTTAAATTTAGTAATTTATACAGGAGAAGGGGTTACTAGCCCCTTGCCCCTGGCATTTTAGTCGCCTCTTACAACACATGGCTTATGGAGGAAGAATTCTGTTCCACTTCCCCATGGAGAGAAGAGGACATAAACAACGACCAGAACTAGTAAGAAAATAGCAGAAAACCCAGAGGGGTGTGTACATATATGCTTGTACATGTATGTGTAGTGTGACCTAAGTGTAAGAAGTAGCAAGATGTACCTGAAACCTTGCATGTTCTTCTGCTGCTTCTGCTTCTTCTTCTGCTGCTTCTGCTTCTTCTTCTGCTGCTTCTGCTTCTTCTGCTGCTTCTTCTGCTGCTTCTTCTGCTGCTTCTTCTGCTGCTGCTTCTGCTGCTTCTTCTGCTGCTTCTGCTTCTTCTGCTTCTGCTTCTGCTTCTTCTGCTGCTTCTTCTGCTGCTTCTTCTGCTGCTTCTTCTGCTGCTTCTGCTTCTGCTGCTTCTTCTGCTTCTGCTTCTTCTTTTCCTTCTTTTCCTTCTTTTCCTTCTTTTCTTCTTTTCCTTCTTCTTTTCATTCTTTTCCTTCTTCTTTTCATTCTTTTCCTTTTCTTCTTTTCCTTCTTCTTTTCCTTTTCTTCTTTTCCTTCTTCTTTTCCTTATTCAACAAACCAGCCGTATCCCACCAAGGCAGGGTGGCCCAAAAAGAAAAAAAGTTTCTCTTTAAATTTAGTAATTTATACAGGAGAAGGGGTTACTAGCCCCTTGCTCATTGCATTTTAGTCGCCTCTTACAACACGCATAGCTTACTGAGGAAGAATTCTGTTCCACTTCCCCATGGAGATCAGAGGAAATAAACAAGAACTAGTAAGAAGATAGAATAAAACCCAGAGGGGTGTGTATATATATTTGCTTGTACATGTATGTGTAGTGTGACCTAAGTGTAAGTAGTAGCAGCAAGATGTACCTGAAACCTTGCATGTTTATGAGACAGAAAAAAACACCAGCAATCCTATCATAATGTAAAACAATTACAGGCTTTCGTTTTACACTTGCTTGGCAGGATGGTAGTACCTCCCTGGGTGGTTGCTGTTTACCAACCTACTACCTACAAATACTAAATAAACTGACTAAATCTACTTGCAAAGACAGTAATGTTCTTGTAGAAATAACATCTTTTGTTAAATATACCTTTGGGAAGGGCAAAGGAAAACACATCTAGATTATAAGAAAGGAAAATGTTTTTAAACTGTACTTAAGAGTAATATATAAACAAATCCCTTGTAGTAGGTTGGTAGACAGCAACTACCCAGGGAGGTACGCTACCATCCTGCCAGGCGAGTGTAAAATGGAAGCCTATAATAGTTTTAGATGATGGTAGGATTGCTGGTGTTTTTTCTGTCTAATAAACATGCAAGATTTCAGATACGTCTTGCTACTAATACATACACTTAGGTCACACTACACATGCATGTACAAGCATATATGTACACACACTCCTTTGGATTTTCTTTTTTCTTACTGGTTCTTGTTTATTTCTTCTTGTCTCCATGGGAAGTGCAACAGAATTCTTCCTCTGTACACCATGCGTGTTGTAAGAGGCGACTAAAATACCAGGAGCAAGGGGCTAGTAACCCCTTCTCCTGTATACATTACTGAATTTATAAAGAGAATCTTTTGTTTTTCTTTTTGTGCCACCGTGCTTCAGTGGGATACAGCCAGTTTAATGAAAGAAGATACAAAGAAATGGTTTTTGGGACTTGATGAGCTGTTGGAGTGTGAGCAGGATAATATTTTGTGAAGGGATTCAGGGAAACTGTTTAGCCGGACTCGAGTCCTGGAGGTGGGAAGTACCAAGCCTACAGTTTAGAGAAGGAGCTTGGGATATTTGTTTGGAGTGACATCTGAACTGTTATATCTGCGTGCCTCTTCAGAGACAGTGATTATGTGTGAATGATGGTGAAAGTTTTTTTTTTTTTTTTTTGTCACCCTGCCTTGGAGACAGCCAGCGTGTTGGAAAAAAATGTACGTATATCAAACTTTATAAGAGGGCACAAATATAAGCCACAGCACCATGTCTTCCTTTGCGGTTGACACCTAAATTTGTATGAGTGTCATCCATCAAAGATTCTGCAAGTCTCTAGGTGGACGTGAACCAAATCTTTAAAGGGCCACTGAAGACAATATGACGTTCAGTGAAGACAAATTTCAGTTGCCCCATGATGGGAAACTTGAAATTAAAACCATTAAAGTATTTATTTATTTATTTATTTATTTATTTATAATTTGAGCACACTTACAGAGGTACAAAAAAAATACAGATAAGAGCAGCATGCCAAAGCCACTTATACTATGCATAGCATTACGGGCTGGCTTAAAATTAACTTAAGATTAACTAAGCAATGATGAAATCAGTGAAAAACATTAATGTAAACTGATTACTATAAAGCACAAGTGAGTATTACAAAGACAGGTCATATGGTTGCATGCATTGTTATAAATTCAGTAGAATGGAGTATTCTGTTAGGTAGTGTATTTAAAAAATAATAAAGTTAGATTGGGTTTTAGGTTTAACATTTATGTGATATAATTGTGAGAAACATTTAAGATATACAATTTATAAGGTTCAGTTATTCAGTATTTATTTGGTTTTGGGTGAGTAAGTGATCTTTGAGAAGAGACTTGAATTTATAAACAGGTAGTGTTTCTTTTATATTTACAGGTAATGAATTCCAGATTTTAGGGCCTTTTATGTGCATTGAGTTTTTGCATAGCGTGAGATGGACACGAGGAATATCAAAGAGTGATCTGTGCCTTGTGTTATGGTCATGTGTTCTGTTGAGGTTGGCAAGGAGATGTTTGAGGGGAGGGTTAATATCAGAGTTGAGTGTTCTATGTATGTAATAGGTGCAGTAATAAGTATGGATGTTTTGTATGGTGAGTAGTTGAGTGTATTGAATATTGGTGGAGTGTGCTGCCTGTAGTGAGAATTTTTTATCATTCTAACTGCAGCCTTTTGTTGGGTAATTAGTGGTCTGAGATGGTTACTTGTTGTTGAGCCCCATGCACAAATTCCATAGGTGAGATAGGGGTAAATAAGAGAGTGATATAGGGCCAGGAGGGCTGACTGTGGAGCATAGTACCGTATCTTCGATAGTATGCCTACAGTCTTGGAAATTTTCTTAGAAATTTGTTGTATATGTGTATGAAATTTGAGTCTATTATCAAGGTGGATTCCTAAGAATTTTCCCTCTGTTAGCTTTGTGATAGGTGATCCGTTTATCATTATGTTAAGAGGGACATCTGTAGCTCTGTTACCAAACTGAATGAAGTAGGTTTTGTCAATGTTTAGTGTAAGTTTGTTAGTACTCATCCAGGTAGATATTTTCTGTAATTCGGTATTTACAGTATTGGCTAGCGTGACTGGGCTCGGGTGGGAGAAGACGTATGTTGTGTCATCAGCAAATAGTGTGGGTTTGAGTAATTGAGAAGCATTTGGTAGGTCATTTATGTTATAGGAGAAAGAGAAGAGGGCCAAGGACACTTCCCTGTGGGACACCAACTGTAATTGGTTGTGCAGAAGAGTTTGCCCCATTTGCGTACACATATTGGCTTCTGTTGCTGAGGTATGACTTGAGGTAGTTGAGGGAGTGCCCTCTTATACCATAGTGTGACAATTTTACGTGGAGCAAGTCATGGTCAACTGTATCAAAAGCTTTACGTAAGTCAATGAAGATCCCCAGTGGGACTTCTTTTTTCTCTATTGCAGTGTATATATGTTCTAGCATGTGTATAATAGCATCATTAGTATTTTTATTAGGCCTGAATCCAAATTGGCAGGGGTTGAGTATGTTTTGGGAGATAAGGTAGGAGTAGATTCGTTTATGAATTAATTTTTCGAAGATTTTTGAGAGGGTGTAAGTTGGATATTGGTCTATAGTTATTCAACTCTGTTTGGTCTCCTCCTTTGTGGATCGGGGTGACCCTTGCTATTTTGAGTACTGTAGGGAAGGTGGAGGATTCAATGGATTTGTTAAAGAGTGTTGCAATGATTGGTGATAGCACTTGTGACACTTTTTTGTATATAAAGGGTGGTAAGGTATTTAAATCTCCTGCCTTGTTTTTTAGTGCGTTGATAATAAGGGAGACTTCGTATGGGTTAGTCGGAGCTAGGAACAGTGTGTTCGGGTAGTTGCCGGTGAGGTAGTCATTTGGTGGGGTATCTGAGCTTGGGATTTTATTGGCAAGGTTTTGTCCTATAGTGGAGAAGAAATCATTGAGTCTGTTTGCTGTTTCTGTTGGTGGGAGTTGGGTTCATCTGATTTTGCTAATTTTATTTCGCTATTTCGTGATATCTTTTTTGTTCCCAGAATTTCTGATAGGGTTTTCCAGGTCTTTTTTATATCACCTCGTAATTTTGGATAATCTGTTCTCATAATACAATTTTTTGCCCTTCTTATCAGGTGGTTAGGATTGACGAGTAACGTTTTGTTTGGTCTCTGGTTATGTGACCCCATTCTGTACTGTTTTTCATATTGGTGTTTTGTATTTATGGATTTGAGAATGCTGGTGTTAGCCGGGGACTGTTCAGTCTCTTAGCTGTCATCTGCTTAGTTTTTTTGGGGCAGTGCTTGTTATAGGTTATTGAGTCTTTTTTAGAAAATTTAAATTAATACATTCGTCAATATCTGTATTGATTTCTAGCTCAGTGTGCCAGTCAATGTTTGCTACTGCTGTTGTGAAGTTATTAATGGCTGCCTC